CCCATAACCCCTGCCTTTAAAAATCTTTGTGAACCCTGATTCTGTTATTCAATATGATCGCTACCTTTCTTTCTTCTTTCAAGCACAGTCTTCTACAAAAAGGGGAGAAAGTTCTCTTCATCCTGTCTACACTTGGTTCTCTAAGCAAACAGTATTGATATCTCGGTCAGATGGATGGTTGCTATCCCATTTGTTGTGCTCAACGCATTCTGAACAGCTAAGAAAACTAGCCAAGCATGGTGGTGCTCGCCTATAGTCCCAGTTACTAGGGAGGCTGAGGCAGCAGAATCGCCTGAGCCCAGGAGTTGAGGTTGCAGTGAGCTATGATGACACTACCGCACTCTAGCCTGGGTGACAGAGCAAGGCCCTGTTTCAAAAAAAAAAAAAAAAAAAAGTAATTAATTAAGAAGTAAAGCATTACATGGTACTTACACTTACTTCCCTGCCCTCAAATAACATCCCATACTACAGCTACTTTTCCTATGTTACATCTGCAGAATGTTGAATACAAGCTTTTTTTTCTCTTCTCCCCAACCTAAACTTAGAGAATGACCGAATTCATATGGCAAGTAGTCAAATTACTAGTATATAATTTAAATAACTAAACTAATTTCTTATGAATCTTAAATTTAGAAATTCTAACTAAATGTTTCTCTTTTTCAAGCCATAAAATTTATTCATCACAGTACTTTAGTCTTCTAAGAAAAGTAGATAGTTCTATAAATGCCTTAGTGCAGGTAGGCCCTAGTGAAGATTGTGGCATATTTTCTGAATTATGATATAAAAAGATGCACTGCTGAGACAGGGCATCTTAAAAGGGAGCTGGGGTCAAAACAATACTATTTTGCTGATGTTCATAGCCTAGCCAATAAAAACATTTGTTCCCATAATCGGAAATAGATTGTTAACCATAGAATGCCTCTGAAAAACAATTTACTTTTCTTTGAAATACTGTCACTAAAATTAACTACAACTTTATTTATATGACTGTCTGTGGTTTTTATGTATGTCTAAAAAGCACAAGAAAAAGATAAAAATATCCCAGAATTGGAAAAGTAGTCATTACATGTTTGGTTTAGCTTGCTTTCATATTTTTATTTTTAAAATCCATCCAAATTAAAGTTCACCATTTTGCAATAGAAGAAAAAGAAGGCAATTTCTTTATGTAAAAATGGAAAGAATAAATTCAGCAACCTCTAAATTAAATTTGGAATTTGATTTATTAGTGAATGAATGCCTAAAATCCTTTTCCATAAGTTGTAAGGCTGAATACATTTATCTTTCATATGGAATTTAAATGCATCAAATATGTGCTGCCTGGGAAAGACAGGTGGCAATACAAAATAATTTCAATATAATACTATGCTTTGAACCTATGTATGTCCTCAGATAAACAATGAAGTTGCTCTCTATTCAATAATGCAGCATTCTCTTAACATTTCTCAATCTTAGTTCTTCCAAATCATAGAACTCTGTTTTCAGATCCTGCATTTACATTAAAATACAAATGCTAACCATAGCTTAAAGCATCATTCCCAGAATGCTCTCAGATTTTGGTTGAATCTAAGAGTGAAAATACCTGGGTTTGAATCCTAGCTCTGCTACATCCTAGCTGTTAGACTTCAGTGAAATTATTTAAATTTACTAAGCCTCTGTTTACTTATTTGTAAATTAATACACTACCACCAGTCATCTAATTTATAATTTCATCACAGTCTAGCAATCCTATACAGCTGTTAGATACTGACATTAAAGTTATATGCTAAAAGTTGTTCCACCACCTCAAAAGGGGTAAGAGTTTTTTCCAATGAATCATCGGAAAAGAGTCACTACCACTCTGAAATCAACAAACCACGCACTCTGGGAGGCCAAGGCGGGTGGATCATTCAAGGTCAGGAGTTTGAGACCAGCCCGAGCAAGAGCGAGACCCCGTCTCTACTAAAAAATAGAAAGAAATGATCTGGACAACTAAAAAATATATATATAAAAATAAGCTGGGCATGGTGGCACATGCTGGTAGTCCCAGCTACTCAGGAGGCTAAGGCAGAAGGATCGCTTGAATCCAGGAGTTTGAGGTTGCTGTGAGCTAGGCTGACGCCATGGCACTCTAGCCCGGGCAACAGAGCAAGACTCTGTCTCAAAAAAAAAAAAAACACAAACCACGTAGGGACTGAGCCCGATCATCTTCAAAAAGACTAAAATTTTATTATGTCTATTTTTGGTCTTGAAGCCACAGGAGTTACTCAAGATCACACAGTATATTACAATTATTCAAGTTATTGCTCTTCATATAGAGAATATTTGTACATCTCTAATATATGCAAAAATAGCATAAGACAGTAAATAAAAAGACAATAACAATTAATAGTAATCTATGCTGTTTTATGTTTCCTGTTGATAGATATAAGATAAACAAATTTATTTTGTACTTGAAAGAGCACAACAGACATTAAAGAATCAAAATTGCTATCAATTATGGAAAAAGGAAAAGGAAAAAGAAAATTTCCAACTTAATCTAATAGATCCCTGCGCAGGGGTGGGGAACCTGTGACCTCAGGATCCTTGAATGCGGCCTTTTGACTGAATCCAAATTTTACAGAACAAATCCTTTTTTTTTTTTTTTCTTTTTTTGAGACAGAGTCTCGCTCTGTCACCCAGGCTAGAGTGCAATGGCATCATCATAGCTCACTGCAGCCTCAAACTCCTGGGCTCAAGTGATCCTCCTGCCTCAGCCTCTAGAGGCAAGTGCCACCATGCCCAGCTAACTTTTCTATTTTTAGTAGACACGGGGTCTTGCTCAGGTTGTTTTCAAACTCCTGAGCTCAAGCAATGCCCCCGCCTCAGCCTCCCAGAGTGCTAGGATTACAGGCGTGAGCCAGAGCCATGGTGCCCAGCCAGAACAAATCCTTTTAATAAAGGGATTTGTTCTATGAAGTTTGGATTTGGTCAGGGGCTGCACTTGGGGATCTGGAGGACCACATGTGGCCTTTAGGCCGCAGGTTCCCCACCCCAATCAGCCACAAAGTCATCTAGGAAAATCTTAGGGAGGAAAAAGTTCTATCTACCTCTTAGCATTTCCATTTCACTAATCCAGCAGCACATGACTCCACTTGTTATTAGAGAGACATTAACAGCACTTGAACATGGCAGTGTCTGTCATATAAAGAAAAAAATATCCATTTACTAAGTAGTAAAATCAATGTGTCTCTCCCTCACTACTGGAAAAATAAGAGAGGTATCATAGAATTTATTTTCTTGGCTTTCAAAACAGAAAAATTATCCTTTCTCAATCCTAGCCAAATAGCTATGCCAATCTCTCTCTCTCTCTCTCTCTCTCTCTCTCTCCCCATCCCCCGTTCATATTATCAAATTGATGCAATTTGTATCCCTCCACAATTTGATGTGAAGGGAGGTAGGAACCCACAAAAAGTTCTAATAGGTCCCCAGCACCAAAATTTTTCCCTCTCGGTCATCACTAAAAGGGACACTGAAACAGTGTTTAAAAGCTTTTATAGTACAAATGTCTGGTTTTTCACATTGTAAGGCCAATTATCAATATTTTCAGGCATGTGGGGAAGAAGAGAAAGGAATGCAAGGGGCTCTCCAAAAGGCCACTTTCCTTGGATCCTCACATTCCTTCCCCATTTTTAATGACAAAATTCAAGATTTACCTCTGTGGGCCTACTGAACCCACAGCTTTCTTTACACAGCTGAGTTATAACCAGCAAAACGTAGCACTCAGCAATGTATCTTTTATCGTCAGTAAAACACAATTGGACAGTCATTAGCGAAGATGAGAAAATATACAATTTTCAATGTCAGTTTTATTCCTAATAGATATTTCTAATCTATGCTAACAAGAGAATGAATAATTGTTCCTATGGGGGAGGGGGTGGTGAGACACGTCAAATAAACAGCAACGACAATGCTAATAAACAACCAGCTACCTAATTTATGGAAGACATTGTTCTAAGCATGTTATGTGTATTTTTTTTTCCATTTTACCTTTACCACAACTCTATGAGATTAGTATCACCATTACCCTCATTTCGTAGATGAGGGCTCTGCTGCTCAAAGAAATTGAGTAATGTGTCAAAACTCATACCATGCATCTGCGATTTCAACCCAAGTATTCTGCTCCAAAGCCTGTACTCTTAACTATCATATTATACCAAATGTTCTCTCTTTAAAAACTGTTTTGAAGAACACTGCTTTATATGTATGTGTGTGCATAATCATAAACATGGTATAAACAGACATAGACACACACATTCCAGTATATTTGGAGAACCAAACTTTACAGTTATATTACAAAATACTTCAATGATCGTCTTCCCAGTTCCTCATTTTATCACCATGGATCTGCCACCAGAAAGAATATCCTGGACAGCATAAATTATGTTCAACTATAAAATTCCTTTAAAATGGCTGAACAAAAAAAAAAAAACAACAAAACAGCAGTTGAACTGCACTGTTATTGTATAAGCTAACCTTCAGACCTTTTAGCTAAAAAGAAAAGAATTCAGGTTCGTGGTTTCAAGACCAAACTCAAACCATGACTGGTCACCATTAAACAAACCTTTAGTTTTTTTGTTTGTCTGTGTTTGTTTTGTTTTTACTAAAACAATAACCTGGAAAATTTCACAAAAAAATAAAACAAATATGTGTATCAGTGAAGCTATGAGGCTAAGATTTTTACTAAAGAATCAGAGGAATTTTTCAGCTTCTGAGTATGTAAAAACCATTAATTTCATTTTTATTATTAGAGAGAAGTTTAAATGGGAAGAAAACCCCAGCAAAATAGGCATTCCAGAATCAGTATGTTCAAAGGTTATTGTATGTGGGGGGTCTAGGAAGGAAGAAAATTATTTCTGGTATTGTAATATCTAACAATTATATCACCAAATTATTTAACAGTAAATGTAACATAAATGTAAACATAAATATGACAAAGACAAAAAATGTCACTATTAAAGTGCAATAACACATTATCAACTTACCAACTCAATTCCCTGTGGAAAGGGTGTATCATCCCAGTCCTTTTGTGGAAATCTCTGGATTATTTTCCCCAGGCCTTCTCCTGACCCTGTTAATAAAATCAAAGTGAATCAGTTATGAGATACCAAAAAATATAAATACTTATTATACTATCACTTACTTCGAAATGAATATTTACTGAATAAACTATATTGATTAAACATTTTCATGTTGGTTTGTTGTTATCGTTGTTTTGTGTTTCGTTTTGTTTTTAGAGACAGGGTCTTGCTCCGTTGCCCAGGCTGGATTGCAGTGGTGGGATCATACCTCACTGTAACCTTGAACTCCCAGGTATTAATACAAGCGATCCTCCCACCTCAGGCTCCCAAATAGCTGAGACTATAGGCATGCACCAATCACCATGCCTGGCTAATTTTTTCATTTTTTGTAGAGACAAGGTTTTGCTATGTTGCCCAGGCTGGTCTCAAATTCCTGGCTTCAAGCGATCCTCCCACCTCTGCCCGCTAAAGTGCTGGGATTATAGGTGTGAGCAACTGTGTCCAGCTTAAGCTTAAAAAACAAAAAGTATTCATCATTCAAAGATAATACATACAATCAGACCTCTGTATCCATATGTTCTGTATCCATGGATTCAACCAACCATGGATTGAAAATATTCAAGAAAAAAATAAAAATAACTATAACAATAAAAATATAAATTTTAAAAATACACTATAACAACTATTTACATAACATTTACATTGTATTAGGCATTATAAGTAATCAGAAGGTGATTTAAAGTATACAGGAGGATATGCATGGGTTATATGCAAATACTATGTCACTTCATGTAAAGAACTTGAGCAGCCCCAGATTTTGGCATCTACCGTTCTGGAACCAATTCCCTGCAGATACTACAGGATGACTGCACTGAAATAATAGGCGATTTCTATTCTACAGACTCTTACAAGATTGACTGATACCTACGAAAAGCTAAGAAAACTAAACACAGGGGCCGGGCATGGTGGCTCACGCCTGTAATCCTAGCACTCTGGGAGGCCAAGGTGGGTGGATCATTTGAGCTCAGGAGTTTGAGACCAGACTGAGCAAGAGCGGGATTCCGTCTTTACTAAAAATAGAATGAAATTAGCTGGACAACTAAAAATATATATAGAAAAAATTAGCTGGGCATGGTGGCGCATGCCTGTAGTCCCAGCTACTC